CGAGCACGACGCAGCACACCCGGCTCCCACCCGGCCGAGCCGGAACAGGCCGCTTTCCACCGCGCATGCGCCACCTGTAGCTGAGCTCACAGAGGGCACCCGCCTCCGTTCGGAGAAAAGGGGCGGGGCTGAAGCAGCTAGGCAGAGCGGGGCGCGGGAGAGTAGCGCCGCCTCGCGCGCCCATAGGGAGCATGGGAGCAGTAACAGGGTCATGCGACCGACACATGGCACACGCTGACCTAGGCACGGCTCTATGGGATTGCGGGTGGCAATCGCAGAGCTAGTAACAAAGCAAATTGCTGGGTGCAGCGTGCAGAGAGCGCGGGGCAATTCTCTGTTGCTTTTCCTCACCAAGAAGGAAGAAACTTATTCATAACAAAGATAAGTGCATCTGTTCGCTTAAATTATTTTGCCAAAAGGCTGATTACAAAGGTGGAAATATGAGAACATGCTTAAATAATTAACACCTTAAGAAAAGTCTCGTTATGTTATACTACATTGTGGTGGTGCAATAGGACCAACTCAGGCCACATTTAAACTGGCACTTTGTAGCTTGGGGTAGGGATGTTAAAATGTGTTTAAAATGTTAAAATTTCAGCAGTTACATGGGTATGCACAGGGTAGCAGATGGCTCCCCAGGAACCAGTGCCTGGGGTAGCCAGTGTCATGTTTCCCCTGCTCCTTTCCCCCTACCTCTGATATAGAGGCAGCAGCGTAGAGGGGAGGGGCTGCACCCTGATGCAAGGGTTAAGCTGACTCCCCCTGCACCCTGGGTGGGCATCTACACTGTACTGTTATTTCAAGATAACTAGCATTATTTCGAAATAACTATGAGCATCTACACAGCCATTCCGTTATTTCAAAATAATTTTGAAATAATGGATGGCTTTTTCTTAACTCTGTAAACCTCCTTCTATGAGGAAAAATGCCTATTCTGAAATAGCTATTTCAAAATAAAGCATGTGTGGGTGTTCCACTTCTGCTATTTCCAAATAGCCCCTCACTAGGGCCATTCTTAGTTATCCTCCTCAGTGCCTCCTTGGGCTCTAAATTGAGATACCACATCTACATTAGGGAAGCCTGCCTCAGACTGATGTTGAGGCTTCCCTGCAGTATAGATGTGCGATTTCAAAATAAGCTATTTCAGAATAACTATTCTGGAATAGCTTATTTTGAAATAAGTGTGCAGTGTAGACATATCCTGGGTGTTTGCATGTAACTTTGAAGGCTAATCATGTACACGGTTACACTTTCACATGCCTACTCAGGCTTTGAAAAAAACACCCCTGCCAGCACAGCAAATTGCAGCACTGCAAAGCAACCAGAACTTGTAGGTAAGGTCCCATGGGAAGCAAGACTGAAGGGAAAAACAACTGAGAAGAGTTGGAAGTATTTCAAAGGGACGTTGTTAAGGGCCCAAAAGCAAACAATTCCGCTGTGTAGGAAAGATAGAAAATATGGCAAAAGACCAGCTTGGCTTAACAAGGAGATCTTGCATGATCTCAAAATAAAAAAGGAGTCATATAAAAAATGGAAACTAGGACAACTAACAAAGGAGGAATATAGGCAAGCAACACGGGAATGCAGGGGCAAGATTAGAAAGGCAAAGCCACAAAATGAGATCAAACTAGCTACAGGCATAAAGGGAAACAAGAAGACCTTTTATAAATACATTAAAAGCAAGAGGAAGACCAAGGACAGGGTAGGCCCACTGCTTAGCGAGGAGGGAGAAGCAGTAACAGGGAACTTGGAAATGGCGGAGATGCTCAATGACTTCTTTGTTTCGGTCTTCACCGAGAAGTCTGGAGGTGTGCCTAACGTAGTGAATACAAGCAGAGAGAGGGTAAGTTTAGAAGATAGGATACACAAAGAACAAGTTAAAAATCACTTAGGAAAGTTAGATGTCAGCAAGTCACCAGGTCCTGATGAAATGCATCCCAGGATACTCAAGGAGCTGATAGAGGAGGTATCTGAGCCTTTAGCTATGATCTTTGAAAAATCATGGCAGACAGGGGAGATTCCAGAAGACTGGAAAAGGGCAAATATTGTGCCCATCTATAAAAAGGGGAATAAGAACAACCCAGGAAACTACAGACCGGTCAGTTTAACGTCTGTCCCAGGGAAGATAATGGAGCAGGTAATTAAGGAAATCATATGCAAACACTTGGAAGGTAATAAAGTGATAGGGAATAGCCAGCATGGGTTTGTGAAGAACAAGTCATGCCAAACTAATCTGATAGCTTTCTTTGATAAGATAACGAGCCTTGTGGATAAGGGAGAAGCGGTGGATGTCATATACCTAGACTTTAGTAAGGCATTTGATACGGTCTCGCATGATATTCTTATTGATAAACTAGGCAAATATAACTTAGATAGGGCCACGATAAGGTGGGTGCATAATTGGCTGGATAACCGTAGTCAGAGAGTTGTTGTTAACGGTTCTAAATCCTGCTGGAAAGGGATAACAAGTGGAGTTCCGCAAGGGTCTGTTTTGGGACCCGTACTATTCAATATCTTCATCAATGATGTAGATATTGGGATAGAGAGTACGCTTATTAAGTTTGCAGATGATACCAAACTGGGTGGGGTTGCAACTTCTTTGGAGGATAGGGACATAATTCAAAATGACCTTAGCAAGTTAGAGAAATGGTCAGAGGTAAACAGGATGAGGTTTAATAAAGAGAAATGCAAAGTGCTCCACTTAGGAAGGAACAATCAGTTCCATACATACAAGATGGGAAGCGACTGTCTAGGAAGGAGCATGGCAGAAAGGGATCTAGGGGTCATAGTGGACCACAAGTTGAATATGAGTCAACAGTGTGATGCTGTTGCAAAAAAAGCAAATATGATTCTAGGTTGTATCAACAGGTGTGTTGTAAGCAAAACTCGTGAAGTCATTCTGCCGCTCTACTCTGCACTAGTTAGGCCTCAGCTGGAGTACTGTGTCCAGTTCTGGGCGCCACATTTCAAGAAAGATGTGGAGAAATTGGAAAGGGTACAGAGAAGAGCAACAAGAATGATTAAAGGTTTAGAGAACATGACCTATGAAGCCAGGCTTCATGAACTGGGCTTGTTTAGTTTGGAAAAAAGAAGATTAAGGGGGGACATGATAGCGGTTTTCAAATATCTAAAAGGGTGTCACAAGGAGGAAGGAGAAAATTTGTTCCTCTTGGTTTCTGAGGACAGGACAAGGAGTAATGGGCTTAAAGTGCAGCAGGGGAGGTTTAGATTGGACATTAGGAAAAAATTCCTAACTGTCAGGGTGGTCAAATATTGGAATAAATTGCCAAGGGAGGTGGTGGAATCTCCCTCTCTGGAGATATTTAAGAACAGGTTAGATAGACATCTGTCAGGGATGGTGTAGACGGAGCTTGGTCCTGCCTTGAGGGCGGAGGGCTGGACTCGATGACCTCTTGAGGTCCCTTCCAGTTCTATGATTCTATGAACAGTGCTTGGAGCCATACTCCCGACTCCGTTAACTGTTCCCCTTTCATAGTTGGTTTATATAAACCTGTGGTCACCAACCAGTAGATCAGGATCTACTGGTAGATCTTGAAGCCTCTGACAGGTGATCCTGACTGGTCTGTCTGATAGGTTATCAAGTACCATCCCATCAGTTGGCCTTCTTTAACTTTAGGCATGTGCCTAAGGTTATGTCTACATTGCCCTTTGATCAATAATATGGTCTAGGGTGTGAAAAAACACACCCCTGAACATCAACATTTTATTGACAAAACAACATTGCTGTAGACAGCACTTTGTCAGTGGGGAGATGCTCTCCTGCCAACAAAGCAACTGCTGCTCTTTGGGGTGGTTTTGTTTTGTTGGTAGGAGAGCTCTTCCTGCTAACAAAGAGAAGCTACACTGGTAATGTGAAAAGTGTAGATATAGTCTGCAGCTGTGCCACTGTAAGATCTCCCATGTAGCTGTTCTTTACTACTAAGAGAGAGCTCTCTCACTGGCGTAATTAAACCATCCACAATAAACAGCTGTAGATAGGTTAGCAGGACAGCATCTTCCAGCAACATAGCACAGGCCACACTGATATTTTTGTTGGGCCTTCTCAGGGGTGTATGCGTGGCCCAGAACCAGAGGTGAAAGTAAGGTGTGCCCCAGTGCACAGCTCAGGTAAGTTTGGACTGCACTCCAGCAGGAGCAGGTAGGTAGGAAATGTAAAGGGTGGGCTGGGGTCACGCTGTAGAGGAGGCATTCATGTTCCCAGGTGGGCTACTGGGAAGGGCTGGCAGCTCCCATCTGGCCACAGTGCCAGGCCCCACTCCTGGCAGAGATGGGGTATAAAATCAACCTCTTTCCAGCTGGTCCTCGAGTGCGGCAGCACAGCCCTGGCCCCGTGTCCCGCTCCTGCCATGGTGGCCTGGCCCCAGCCTTGTTCCTGCGGAGGGAGTGGGGGGAGCAGAATTGGCCCCTGTCTGGCTGTGGCTGCAGTTGTAGCGGTGGCAGTCCAGCCCTGAAGCAGGCCCCACTATAAACATTTTAGCACCACCAAAACTAATAGTGGTCTATGGATTCTAATATCATATAAATCATCAACATGAACACTAAATTCTAATCAATTAAAAATGTTTGCTCACATATGCATTTTGCAATGGGGATGTAGTAACTGAGGGCATAATTTGGCCTGCAGAACATTATTATTGTTGTAAATGTATAAGAATCAAAGAACCCATCTTGACTTTCTGATCTCAGCTTGGGTTTGTAGAGTTGGCAATTAAAAATCCACTCTTATCTGCAAGGTAAGGAGATTTGTAACTGATACTTTTATAAGGAACATTAAATGCCATAAACTTAAAAAAAACCAAAATAGTCTGGTAGCACTTTAAAGACTAACAAAACATGTAGATGGTATCATGAGCTTTCGTGGGCACAGCCCACTTTTTCAGATTACCGGAGTGTTGCTGTCTCTTTCATCAGATTACCTTTCCAGAGTGTATTTACCAAACAAACTGCAATTTGGTCGATGGATATGAATATCTGTTTGTAAATCAACAGCTGTGTCCTGATGTGGATTTATTTTGGAGCTATTATTACCACTCTGGAAAGGTAATCTGATGAAAGAGACATCAAAGCTTGAATTTCAGCCTTCATTTTATATGCTGCCATAATTTCCATTTGAAAAAGAAAAAAACAGTGCAAATTAATGTACAATTGAGAAAGGCCTGACCCATAGGGTGAGGCCATTACATTTTTTAATTAAATTAGGTTTTAGTAGTATTTTCATACTATGTACTGCACACCAGAGAGCAAAATCAGCAAATCATATACCAGGACAATGTAAAGAGAAGGGGAAAACACACAATGTTTTCCCACTATGTAACCACTATATATTATTTCTGCATGAACTGTGCTTTGTGTTCTAAAATATTCAGGCCTAACCAAACTGATGTCATCAACACTCGGGTCATCTGAAGAAGTGGGCTGTGCCCACGAAAGCTCATGATACCATCTACGGCTATGTCTACACTCGCATCTTCTTGCGCGAGTAATATGCAAATGAGGCTAAGGGGTGAATATCGCCGAGCCTCATTTTCATAACTAATGAGCCGCCATTTTGGGGAAGAAGTTCTTGCGCAACACGGAGCTGTCTACACTGCTCCTTCTTGCGCAAAAAAAACCCTCTTGTGCAATGCCGTTACACTAATTACTTGAGAGGAAGAACGGCATTGCGCAAGAGGGTTTTTCTTGCGCAAGAAGGGCCAGTGTAGATGCTTCATCTTGCGCAAGAGCCTCTTCTGAAAAAAAGGCGGCTCATTAGTTATGCAAATGAGGCTTGGCAATATTCAACGCTTAGCCTCATTTGCATATTACTCACGCAAAAAGACGCAAGTGTAGACATAGCCTACATGTTTTGTTAGTCTTTAAAATGATACCAGACTATTCGTTGTTTGTTAAAGTTTATCCTTTACAGACTAACTCAGCTACCTCCTGAAGCTTCATGAAATGCCATGTTTATAATAATTTTCCAGGTAAGGATTGTACCGTAAAATATTACAGTAATTTAAACTATTTCAGTCTTAAAAAGTAAAACATATGAGAAGACAGACTTCGTTTGATTGTGCTTTAAAGTAGCTTGTGTATTAACTCTTTGACACAAATTTAAGCAAATATAACTTTACTTTCTGCCCTCAAATGTCAATATCTTTTTAAAGGCTAATGCTTTTACAGCTGGAAATTTTGTTGTAGTTATTTACAGCAGCTACAATGGAAAACACATATTATATTTAAATGTTTTCAGATCCTTATGGTACGCTAGTGGAAAAACAATCAAAATTGCAAAGAAATTAAACTATAGATATTAAAAAATTGAACAGGACAATGAAACAAACCTCTATATCTCTTAACTGACTATATAGAACAATTGCCATAAATAATGCAATTGTATGCAATTTTTGTAAATAGTGGCTTATAATAGCTCCAAAATAAATCCACAACACGACACAGCTGTTGATTTACAAACAGATATTCATATCCATCCACCAAATTGCAGTTTGTTTGGTAAATACACTCTGGAAAGGTAATCTGATGAAAGAGACATCAAAGCTTGAATTTCAGCCTTCATTTTAGATGCTGCCATAATTTCCATCTGAAAAAGAAAAAAACAGTGCAAATTAATGTACTATTGAGAAAGGCCTGACTCATAGGGTGAGGCCATTACATTTTTTAATTACGTTAGGTTTTACTAGTATTTTTATACTATGTGCTGCACAGCAGAGAGCACACATTAGTAGCAAAATCATAGCAAAGCACATACCAGGACAATGTAAAGAGAAGGGGAAAACACACAATATTTTCCCACTATGTAACCACTACATATTATTTCTGCATGAACTGTGCTTTGTGCTCTAAAATATTCAGGCCAAACCAAACCGGTAGGTGGAAGCTAAGTAATTGTTCCACATGGCATGTTCTCCCTCTTCAAGAGATGTAATTTATTCTGTGTTATTCAGAACTGTAGAAAACCTCCTCCATGACATATAAGTGTCAGATGGCCAATGACAGAGAGCCTGCCATGAGTCTAGTCCTGTGTTGGGGAGGGAAGTACTAGGCACAGTGATACAGAGCCTGCCTGCACTGCTGTCAATCCTGACTTCTCCATGTGAAGTGCAGCAAAACTTTATTGGTCTTTCTGCTGTGTTCAGAGCTGACCATAGCCAGAAGGGATGGGACTGAGGTGGATAGGATTTGTTCTTTAGAAATTAAGAAACAGAAAACAATATAATTTATGCCTACTTCTTTTTTCCACATTGGTTGGCAAGCCATATAAGGTCTCTTCTGCATACTAGCAAGTTTATTTTGATCTCGTTTAGTAAGTGGAATCAAAGCATCTTTGGGTATATTTAATCTGAGAAAACAGATAAAAATTTTAGCCTGCTTAATATTTTTTAAAACTATAATATCATTTTCACCTTAAATTATTTTTTCTAACCATCAAAATTCTCTATAAAAATAACAGTAAATGTATTGAGAGCAGAATCAACAGAGAATTGTCCTTTTTGAATGAATTTAACAGACAAATGTTACATTTCCTTTTTTGTGATAGAATAGAAGGATAATTATACTTCTAGAAAACAACAAACCTTTCAATGTCAGATGGAAGGAGACCAAGCCATCTTATAGCAGGAACTGTGAGATGATGGGCTTCAAAAGACATTGACTACAATGCAAAATGTCATATATTATGTTCAGTGTCTTTAACTAGTATTATTTATATTTGTTTCTGAGAAAATATTTATGTGTTAGGTCAAATTTTGAAAAAATGATGCTAACTAGAATTCTCTATGAAACTCAGGCTTGTAGAAATTGAGACAAGTAGTTGTAATAGGTAAACCACAACACAAGGAGGGAAAAGGGGGTACATTAAATTCCAGCTGGGTGTACCACTTCTTGCATTCTTTTGCCCAGAGAACTGTGCAGTGGATAGTCTGCCCCCTTCAGCCATGAGTGCTTGAGAAGAGCCTGTCAAAAACTCAAGTCAGTTGGAGCTGAGACAAGCAGCTAAAGTATGTATTTGGACACTGATAACATTCCCTCCGCTCTGGTGATTTTCTGTCCAACTCACTTCTACCTCCTCCCTTAGCCTGTCTTTGCCTAATTCCACTTGACCTCTATACTCTTTCTCTCTCTCTTCTCCTCTCCCTTCTTATCTCTCGCGGTATGATATGCCCTTTCCTTTCCTTTTCTTCCCTTCCTCTTTCTGTTAGATAATCTTTCCCCAAAAAGCCTTAATAAATAATGGAAATAATACCAATAACAATAATAATACCAATACCAAATCTGGGACCATAACACATTTTTTTAGACTCTCCCATTGTTTACTGTTGCTTACATGCTATAGCTCCTCCTTTTCTCTATACACATCTATATAGAGAAAGATACACATCTATCTTTTGTATATAGACTGTCAACTCTCTGGGAAGGAATGGGGACTTGGTATATAAACTATGTTGTTTAGAACAGTGTAGCACAGGTCTCACTTGAGACCTCCTTAGCACTACTTGTACCATACATAATACATAATAATAATAATACTGACAATTTTGTATAGCAGGAAAAACTCACGTCAGATTTTTTTTTAATCTGCCATTTTCACACAATTTTTTAAACTTTTTTTAAAAGCACTCTTGGCCCCAAAGTTGCTTCCTAATCTTAAAACAAGACAAAAAAGGAATAAAATACTGAGCCTAACCAGTGTTCCTTTTATGATTTTTCAACCAAGAGCAGAGTAAGTTTTGACTTGTGTACCAGTATTGAGATCACATGCTCTGGTTTGAATGTGTGCCACCGTGACACCCAATTTATTAATTCAAACATTCCCAACCACTGGAGCAGAATTCCCCCACCCCCTCCATGCAGCATGTACCGTTCCCAGTCGCCAGAGTAGACTCCGCCTCCCCATCCCCCCCCCTCCTCTGGCCATGCGGCAGGTCCCATTCCTGCCCCCAGCCACCGGAGCAGGCCTTTGCCCCTCGCCTTGCAACCATGGCAGGTCCTGGCCCCCCACCCCAGCGGCTCCCTCACTATGCCATCTCGGGGGGACCTGCCCGCCGGAGCAGCCACCTGCCGTACGAGTGCTGCTGCGCAGCTCTCCAAAGGAGGTGTGTGGGGGAAGAATTTTTTTGTGTGGCTGCACCCTATCAGGAATTATGATCCTAACTAGACTTGAAAAGTTTTCAAATTCTAGTTCCAAAGCTGAAGAACAAAATAATGAAGAAGACCTGAAGTAGAAAAAAACTACACTCACCACAGATCCATACTTGTAGATGCACATTATTTCTATACCTAATTTACAGAAGACCAAATGTCACATATCTGTTTGCGTACATTTTGGAGCATGATTCATCACTGTGTTATTTCAGTTTCATGCATGGGTAAGCCCTTTTGAGTTACATTGGTGTAAAACTGAACTGATGAATCGGGTCCTTTAATCTTTAAAATTAGCTTTACAGCATATTGTCAAAAGTTATAGAATCTGAATCAACATTTTTGAAGATGTGACACTTACCTCAATAAATGTTAGTATTTCATACCTGTTAAGTATAGGCATCATGCAAAAGTAATCTTGTTTTTCTATATTATGTACCATGTCTGTCACAAAAAAACCAACATCTCTTACTTTGTCCTATGGCAACTTAATAGAATTCAACATTGATGGTTAAAACTATTATTCTGAATGTTCATACTTTTCATTTGACAGTACAGGCAGTCCCCGAGTTACGCGGATCCGACTTATGTCGGATCCGCAGTTACGAAAGGGGTTTGCTGCCCGTCTCCCTGGTCTGCTGGAGATCAGCAGACCAGGGAGACGGGAAGCAAAGCCTCTGAGGACGCCGGCAGCGGGACAGCCACGGCGCATCTGGGCTGTCCGCTGCCCGTGTGCTCCGCGGCTTTGCTCCACGTCTCCTCAGACCAGGGAGACAGGGAGCAAAGCCAGGGAGCACGCGGGCAGTGGACAGCCCAGACGCGCCACGGCTGGCCCGCTGCCGGCATGTTCCGCGGG